AAAAAAAGGCCTAATTTTGTGAATTTATTGTGGGAAAATGAGAAAAGGAATAGGATTTTCCTTTTGAGGGTTAATTGAGTATGTATTAAAGTATAGAAAGAAATTTTTTTATTGACATTTGTAAACAAAATGGCGGCGATACAGCGTATTTCCCAAATAACTATTTTTAAAAAATCCTCCACGGGCGGACACATATCTTGAAAAGTTTTCGACCTGGAACAATAAACCAAAAATTTCCTTAATTTAGATGTTATTGGCTAGAGTAGTACCTAGGGATTTTTTTTTAAATTGATTTTTGTAGAAACTGTGCACTAATGAAAAAAAAAATCGATTTTTGACCTAAAAATGTGTCAGTCAATTGTTTATAAAAAAAATTTACATTCAATCAAAAAACGGCTACGTACTTCTCTGAAGAATGTAATTACGAAGTTACTGTTAAAATTTGAAATCGATCGATGGAACGGTCTTTGTGCAATGTGTCCGCCCAGTTCAAAAAAAGTGATTTTGAGATAATGGCGTTTAAAGTTTTTCAAGGCCTTTTATTGTTGAAAATTTTATTTTACCTTTACCATTTGCAATGCCTGCTCCATACATTTGGCCTTCTAAATTGATACTCGCTTCCTCCTCTTCCTTCTTGGACAATTTTAACGACATTCTCGCCTTTTTAGCCTCCTCTGAAAGGGATCTCTCCGAAAGTTTGATCCGGCGCTCATCTGCTTCCATGCAAAAATTATAGCAATTGGGTCCAATTTTCATGCCCAATCCCTGCATCACCCTCATCACACTTGATAATCCATCATTAAATATGCCCGTAGCAATGTATACGGCAGTATCAAGGACGTGCTTGCCACTGGAAACAGTGTTTGGGGCCATTGACCACACTGTTGCATTCAGGCTCTCGTTACTGTTTTTTGTGAAACCGCCTAAGCAACGAAGGAGCAGGTCATCGCGACTCAATTCTTCGTAGATCGGAAGAATAGCCTTATAAACTTGTTCCGACATAGGCGTTTTATGAGTGTGCGCTGACCCCGTTGCACGTGCTTTCTGCCACGAGCACCAAGAGTCCTTTCCGGGCGGGCACCGTTCGTGTTGGGGAGCGGTGCACTTGGACACGGTGCATTTGGACACAGCCAATCACAGCACCGTATGATTAGAGACATTTGTAGGATCCCTTGGAACAGCGACTTGTGATTGGACTATGTCCAATTGCCCCGTGTCCAACTGATATACACCCTTCGTGTTGTGGGTTGGCGTCGGTTGATAATTTGTGATGCAACGTTGCATAAATATCATTTTTCATTTTATCAATTGAATCAGGATTTCTGCGAATTGCCAGGCCGAATATATTGACAATTCATCTATTAACTTACCAGTCAACTTGCCTTTTCCCCCAAGTCCTTTTGTTGACTGTTTTAGTTTTCGAAGGCGAGAGCCCATCCGCTTTTGGACATGATCAATGCACTCCTTCTTTTTAACGATAAAATCTTCATAGGTCTGTGAATCCATAATGCTCTTGAATGTTTTAGAATTCCCGTCTCCCACGTAGTTGGCATATTTCATATCGAATAATAATTTGGAACGCTGAAACATCTCTATGACGGCAGGAACCCGAAAGACCTTTCACTCGGTCGGTAATAGGGCCGCTTATTATCGACATTTTTTTCGTTAAGACCAATTGCATATCATTTTTATGACCCTAAAGTACATTTTAAGCCAAAAAAAAAATCGATTTTTCAAAAATTCTAGAGTGGTGTTACCCCTTAAAATGAATAAAAGAAAATTAAAACATGTAGCAGATATCACAAGTCGACAATTTCGGCGGCGAGTTTACGCTGCTGTAAGAGAAACGAGGAACAAAGTGGAATACATGACCAGTTGTAATAATAAGAGTAAAATACTTTTTCATTGCAACACATATTTTTAATATTTATTATCCCTCTAATAATAATAATTTGCAGACAGAAATATTACAAATGATAATAATGGTCCATCAAATACAGTTTCATCCAATGCTACAAGTAATGCAGTAAGTAATTCAATATTCCTTTGGTAGAATACTTTATTCTAGCAGATGCATGCTCTTTCTAAAACAAAACATTGATACTGATGGATTTTTGTAGGAATATGAAGAAGATGCTGCAAGCAACATACTTAATAATTATAGTGATGTGTATCGTGATAATTTTTATCCTGAAAATTATGATGAATTATCAAATCATGGGATGTATGAATATGAAAAATATCAACATCAGGGTCTGGATACATCAGATTTGTCAGAAGAAATTGAAGATGATCCAATAAATATTGATTCCGATGAGATTGAAGAGAATTCAGACAAGGCAACATTACAATTAAAGAATTTCTTAAGAATGTCCAGGCATCAATCTAGTAATCAAATCTAGTAATTTCTTAAGAAATTGGAACATAAAACATGCAGTTAGATGTAATGCGGTTTTAGACCTTCTTTCGAATTTAAAAAAACATCCGTGTTTTTCTATTCTTCCAATAGATGCCAGGACATTGTTATGCACTCCGCGAAAATGTAATATTATAGATATAAAACCTGGTATATGTTGTCACTTCGGATTACTTAATGGTATAATGGATACATTATCAAATGATGATTCAATAAAACAAAAATGCAAACTGCATGGTATACATATAGCTGTAGGTATTGATGGTCTTCCCGTTTGCAAGTCATCATCCAGTACATTTTGGCCAATATTAGGTTCAATACTTCATAATGGACCTGTGTTTATAACTGGAGTTTATCATGGTAATTTTAAGCCTGAAAGTAGCAATCTTTTTTTGAGACCTTTTGTAGATGAGGCATTACTTTTATATGAAAACAGAATTGAAATAAATAACGTCAGAGTTCAATATCAAATACTTTATTCTAGATGCACCAGCAAAATCATTTGTTTTAAATGTTAAAGGACATGCGGGTTACTATAGTTGTACGAAATGTCATGTTAAGGGTTCTAGCGACCATGGACGTGTATATTTTATAGAAAGAAAAGCACAAAAAAGAACAAACGAGGAATTTTGATTATACATGGATTGTAATTATCATTTACGTAGTACCGAATTAGATAGACTATCAAATATTAATTTGATTAACCCTTTGGGGACGGAGCCGCTCGACAGGCTATAAGGAAGATAAGACATCATCACTAATGGCCCCTAATGTCTTTGAATGAAAACGTGACTCTTTTACTATACCTATGCGTATCTTATCGCTCAGAACGACAGACGTCGCGAGCCTTGCAGCTACGAACTAATTTGGGCGGCTATATGCCGACACGCGTCCGGAACGGTAAAACGGCTTGGGCGGCTATATGCCGACACTCATCCCCAAAGGGTTAAATGTATTCCTCTCGACTATATGCATTTGACTTGTTTAGATGTAATGCGTAAATTATTATATTTATGGGTACGAAGTAGCCATACAAAACGAAAATGGCAACTTAGCCAAAATCAACTTAAATATATATCTAATAATCTACTACAGATAAAATTGTCAGTCCGAAGTGAGTTTCAACGTAAACCACGTTCGTTGATTTTTTTAAAACAATGGAAAGCTACTGAATATCGACAATTTTTGTTTTACACAGGATTGGTAGTGTTGCGAGATGTGTTACATAAAGATATATATCAACACTTTTTAGAATTACATGTTGCACTTAGAATTTTATCATGCAAGAATTCCCATAAATATTTAAATTATGCTCAGCTTCTCCTTGAACATTTTGTGGATTCGTTTAGTCTTCTTTATGACAAATATTTAATATCTCATAATGTTCATGGACTTATACATATAACGGATGATGTTAAATATTTGGGAAGTATAGAAACTTTTAGTGCATTTAGATTTGAAAATTTTATTTACTATATAAAAAAATTAATTCATAAAAATAAAAGACCGTTACAACTTTTTTATCGTTATACAGAAATTAAATGCTATAACATTAACAAGAAGCATAATAAATCTAATTTAGATAAATTAATACCTGTGCAATCTTCTGCATATTACGATATCGTATCAATTGGATGTACAAGTCCTTTATACAGTAAAGCAGTATGTGATAATTTCATATTGTCAATTAGAGATTGTGCTAATAATTGTTGCGGTTTAGAAGATGGTAGTATTATAATCGTTCAGAAAATAGTGTGGCATATACAGCTGAATAATTTTATAATAATAGGACAACAATTTCTACGAAAATAAAATTTTTATACATTTTTTTTTTTTTTTTTTTTTTTTTT